TGAGTTACTGTGATGACGCTAGCATGCTACTGTGGACCTGTTAGCAGTGTTGTTACTGTGAGCATGTGCACTGAGTGTGTTAGCATGTTGTTATGACTCCACTTCCTGTGAATCTGAACGTTCTGCATAAAGATTTAGAAGGAAAATGAAACTCACCGACAGGCAGAAGTGGATTTTTATACACAAACGTTTTATTTGGTTAAATAAAGCATCGATCTAATAAGAACAGAGGAGCTGTGAAACATGGAGAAAGTGGCCTATCGATAATCAATACACACAGACAAAATAATGGAGATATTCAAAAACGTTGTGATGTGACTGTTCCTTAAATCAACGCTTGTCCGACCAACTGTTTCTCAGCAAACAACAACAGAAATTAAAAAAATACATACAGACTCTACAAGGTTCCAGGAGAGGCTGAAGGTTCAGCCGCTAAATAAAAACCGACGATGGAGAGACGATGGAGGGGGGAGACGATCCATCGATGGATGGACAGACCGGTATTTACAGGACGTACTCGAGCTCGTAGCGGACGTAGACGTTCTTGTCGTCGTTGTAGACCTGCGGGTAGTGAGCGATCAGAGCGTCCTGAGAGCCGATGTAGATGGAGTTGTAGATCTTCCAGTAGACGTCCCTCACCTTCCTGGCTGGATGGAACAGGCCCTGCACCGTTCAACACACAAACCTTTAGTGTTCACAATCAACCAACAGATTCTCAAGTTTGGCAGCTTTACCCCAAAAATGAGCACAAATCCACGAGAACCCCGTCTGTAGCTTTATCTCTACGTCTGTCTGTAGCTACACCCGTCTGACTGGGCAGACGAGGCGGCTGTGAAGCCACTGATGGAGTACTGAGCGTGCTCCAGCAGCTCTGCTCACCTGTAAGCAGTACTGCAGCATGCGGCAGGGTCCGATGGCGACCCTCAGCCCCTCCAGAGCTCCCATCACGGCCTGGATGACGTGAGGCGACGTCTCGAACACGTTGGGCCAGACGTAGTTCAGCAGGTGGTTCAGAGAGTCCTCGCAGCCGAAACCGTAGACGCCCAGAGACATGTGCTGGACCACGGCGCTGGCCGTCTGTCGGTGGACCAAGTCTCTGCAGGGACAGAACAGAGACGGGTCAGATCCAGAACCCCACAGGTTCATACAGGTACAGCCACAAGTCTACAGCAAGAGGTCCACCGGGCAGCATTTCATTGATTGATTGATTGATTGCCTGCTGTTGTCTTTTATCTTTGCAGAGTTTTAACAAAACACAGAAACTACGACCAGAACAGCAACATTAAAGGACTTCACAGGCAGTAAGAAAGTTCTGCTTCACCCATCGATGAGCTTCACCAGATAACCAGTTAAAGCTCAACACAAGTAAACACCACTAAAATCTGTTCTTGTCATTTAAATGGAATGTTTCTGGGGTCTTACAGCACTCTGAAGTACCAAAACAAGATAAAACATGAATGAACAAAGATATTTGTTATATCTGAAATCATTTCACAGATGTGGTGGTTTAGTGGTAACGCTCATTTCTGCATTTCTTTTCCCTTGTAACAAACATTGATGTGACTTCTGCATCACTCGTGTTTGTCGGCTGGTTCATCTCTTTTGTACTGAACCTATCGGACCGGCCACCCGGAGCTCACCGGTCCATCAGGGCGTCCTCCAGCAGCGGCGTCACGGCGTAGATGTAGTCTTTGCCCATCTCTCCGATGTACTCGAACAGGAAGGACAGCGACTTGAGGACGCCGTTCTGCACGTTGAGTTCAGGGACTCGGTACTCGTTCATGAGCGCCGGCAGCACCGTGAACGGCGAGCAGGTCTCGGCCACGATGGCGATGGCCACGGTGGTACAGACCCGGTTCTGACGCTCCTGAACCTTCAGATTGTTGAGCAGAGTCGCCAAGACGTCGTGAGGCCTGCGAGGAGACAGACGCTGATTAACAGACGAATTAATATCGAACACGTCCGATTCATTGGTCAACTTGTTCTCATTCAACCAAACTTATGGTTTGGACAACCTCTGGGGTTCCTGATATAAGGACTGGTCCATTATTTGTACCTGCAGGAGGACCAGACCCCCTGTGGACACGTCTTTAACTGGTCTGACCTGATGGACACTTGACATCCAACGTATGGAACTTTTACTGAACACTAACTGACATTATGTCCACAGTTTAAAGCTGTTTTCCATTAAATCCATCCCTTCCTGTCTTTGTGTGTCTTAGACGTCACTCCACTGTGTTGCTTCTCTTAAAATGTGCAGATCTGTAGAGTCCCTGCTGTCTCTCCACCATCACTGCAGCGCTGCACACCAGCTCACCTACAACTCAAACACTGCATAACTACGCTGCACAGAGGGTTTAATACTGGAGGAATTCAGAACCATGTTAGAACCAGGAACCGACTGAAGAAGAAGAATGATGCAGAGAGCTGCAGGACGACAGCTTTCATGGCTGATACGTATGTTAAACAGCCAACAGGTCCAGTGTGAACCGTGTGCAGCAGTTTGCACGTCAAGCTGACTAAAGGATGAAGAACCAAGTTCAGGATCTTCACAGATTTTCACTTGTGGATGATATGGAGGAGCGCTGTTGTCTGAAGCTCCAGCAGCTACAGACAGGATCAGTTCTGGGTGCTGGTTCCTGTAAACCGTCCTCAGAACTTTTCCTGCTGCGGCTTCAGGACAAAAGCGTCACAGCTTCAGCCAATGATGCTGTATTTAGTTTACAGACAGCAGTTTGTGTATCAGCTCATCCACCAACATGTCAGAAGGTCTAAAAACAGCAGCTTCCAGAAACCAGATGAATCAGTGCAGCTGCTCCCAGTCTGTTCTCATCGGTTCAGTCCCTCATGCTGATCATCTGTGGCTCATTCAGCTCATCTACAGAAACCCTACAGATGCTTTTGCGGGTTGAAGGGTCGGTTCTGTTTAGCGCTACAACCCACAACGCAGAAGAAGCTGAAGGTGTGTACACGCGACTCACCCGATGGCCTTGGCGATGTAGCCGAACGTGTTGACGGTGGCTCTGCGAATCGCCTTTTTGTGAGCTTTGAGCAGCTCCAGCAGCTCAAAACAAATCCTCATCCACTCCCTGGCCGACACGTACTCCGCTCCCCTGAAACGCACAACAAGGGTGAATAAGACGCACAACAACGCAGCACATCCACAAAGCTTCGGCGTTTGCTCCACCCACCTGTCGGCGATCCTTCCCACCAGGTCGATGCAGTTCTCCTGAACCTTCTCGTGTCGGTTTTTCAGGATGGGCGTCAGACGGGGAAGCAGGTCCTTGATTGGTGGAGTCATCTTGTGCATACCTGCAACAGAACCACATGAAACCTGAACAACACGAACTGGACACGAACACGGAGACGCTGCAGCCTTGTTGAAAGTGAAAGAGCAGATAATCAAACTCAGTCGACGTACCGATGACGTTGACGATGGCCTTCAGGGCTCCCAGGATGCTGCCCAGAACCTCGGGGTACTCCTCTCCCAGGTACTCGTACAGAACCACACCCAGGTGACCCATCAGCTTCTCCTGCAGCCACAGAACCACAACAACATGCATCAGCTCCCCTCTTCCTGATGCTGTGCGTTTTTACAGCAAACTAACCATTATTTACACTGTCGATGATTTTCTTCATCAATCCATCAGTTGTTTGGTCTCTAAAACGTCCAACGCTCTGACAGAAATCCATCCTGATTCTAAACTTTGCTGGAGGCGACCAAGCTGGAGCTAAAAGTCAAGTTTAACTCAAAACGTTCTCTGCCTGGCTTTAAATCTGAACGTTTTCCAAATGGAGTTTGGTTCGATGAACGTCACTAAAGAGCTGCAACTAATAATTCTAAAACACCAGAAGGTGGTCCAAAGTGTCAATCAGTGTTTCCCAAAACCCACGACAAATATCCTGTTTTAGTCAAAAACCCTAAAATGTTCTGTTTACTGTCACAGAGCAGGAAAAGGGGAGTGAACAATTTCCCTTCAGCTGTTTAATTTTGATAATGTCCACCAGTTACTGATGTGATCGTTCATCGTAGAATCACATTAAATTCTGAACACTACGCAAAATATTTAAGAAGCTGCAGAGAATTCAGACTTTTTTGATTTAGAAACGACTCAATCGATATAAAAACCCGATGAATGAAGCGGATGTGTAACTGCTGCATCGTACCTCCTGGCAGGTCTTCATCACCACGGCGGTTCTGGAGATCAGGTCGGCGGCCTGCTGACGGACTTTAGCCGACTTGTTGTTGAGACGCCACAGAACCGTACCGCAGATCTGAGGCAGGTAGGGCTTCACTCGCTTCCCGAGGGCGTTCACCACGGTACCGAACCCGTTCAGCATCACCGAGTCCTGCAGGGCGACGGAGGGAAGTTAGCCGTTATACATAAAGAGCAACTTCATGGAAACGTTTCACATCAGACCCGCGGGAGTCGTGCCTCACCTCAGTGGTCTGCTCCTGGAAGGCGTACAGGATCCCGTCGATCAGCTGCTCCTCCAGCTTGTGGTCGATGTCGGCGGCGCCCAGGTTGCCCATGATCTTCTCGATGGTCTCCATCACCATCTTCCTGTACTGCTCCGCCTCGTCCTTCAGGTCGTCCACGATGCGAGAAATGATCTCCGCTGCTCCCACTTTGTTGGCCAGCTCCACCGTGGTGTCCACCAGCTGCTCGGACAGAAGAAACAGACTTTAGATGAACAGCTGCTGCCAATTATGGCACAAAAGGTGTTCGTCAGAGTCACGTGATGCTGTCAGAGGCTCTGAGGTCACTTCCTGGTCACACGTTGAGTCAATAGAAAGATGAACTTCAGTGCTAATTAGGAAGCTCAGTGTTACTTTCAGGAACGACAGCTGATTTATTTAAATGATATTTTGTTTATTTTTAAGAAAAAAACGTAGATTTAGTTTTTATTTTTTCTCTCATTTCAGCTTCATAAAACCACAGAAAGAAAACACGCTCAGCTAACTCGACGTCCATGCAGCTCTGTGTGAGTAGCTCTAAAAGGAAACACCACTCTGTTCTTGCCATTACAAGACCACCAGACCTCACTGTTTGGTGCAACGGTCACAATGTTCCTATAATCCAGTAAAACCACCGGCCTGGACGCTAGCCAGAAGCTAACCAGTGTTACTCTCCTCCAGTGAGATCAATGTGTCTGCATTTGGTCCTGACTAGTTAAAACCAGAGGTTCTGTTCTCACTGAGCTGAACTCGAAGCTGTCGGGGCTTTCTGACCTGTCTGTAGTTGCGTCTGTCCAGAGCCATCCTGTGCTGCCAGAAGTGCTTGAAGAACGGCGGCAGGATCTCAGTCTTGATGTAGTTTGCTTCCACACCGTCGGTGCCACAGCACTGTTTCACCACCTGCACAAGGAACAAACACCGGCTGCTCAGTGGCAGAAGGACACTCCAATTTGTTTTATACATCAGATGTGACCAGCGGGTGCAGGAGGACACAGCCCAGCACTCTGCTGCTTCTCATGCTGCAGTTCAGGTAGAACTTCTCGCCCTGATGCAGCCACGAGGCATCAGAACAGGCGAGAATGCACTGCAGCGTCTGTGAGCTAAAGTCAGCTATCCTTCTTACCTTCAGCACGATCTTCTTCATCTCCTCGTCAGGAGACTGGAACTCTCTGATGAGAATCAGCATCACCTCTCTGGTGTAGTAGTTGGCGTACTCAGCGTCCATCAGCGGGATCAGATAGCCGATGGCTTTGAGGAAAGCAGCCAGACCCTGGAGACAAGAGGAGGCTCAGACTTAGATTCACGCCCAGATTTTAACCCATGGATGTTATAAATGGATGTTTTTGTCTGAAGCTTCAGCAGAGTTTAGTCTAATGTGGCCTCCGCTGACAGCAGCAGCTTCTCAGAGGCGCGACACACAGTCAATACTCATGCTGCTGTGCAACGTCAACGCTCTGTGACTGGACTCACCTTTCCTCTGTGCTGCCGGATGCCTTTCCACAGCGGCTTCAGGACAGAATCAAAGGACTCGATACCGTACGGCGTGGCAGCTTCGGCCAGGGCAGCGATAGCCAGAGCGCTGATGGTCCTGACCTTCTGCTGCTCGTCCACCAGACCTGAAACACCAACACATCACAGCTTCAGCACACTCACAGCAGCTCCCTACAGGCACAAGTAAAGCAGCAGCCAGTCGCCTGCAGCTCAGTGGAGGTCTGTAGTTTCTGTAGCTTTCTTAGTCTCCAGCAGTTTGTCTGCTTCTGTGCCAGTGTTTAGTAAGAATGAAGTAATACGTATGCTTATAATAACATTTCTCTGAGTGGAGGAGCAGATCCTGGTACAGCCGGCTACTGTTTACTCCCAACAGGATCTACTGTCTAACTGCTTTTACAAGCAATTTCCTGTGAAGGATCGATAAAAGGTCCATAAAGTGTCTATCTGCAGGTTATGATGTGTTATAGTGTGACAGCTTGAAAATGAGAAACACATCATGCAAACATGTGCTAAATTAATTGGAATTTATCATCAATTCTAAGCTATATACTTATAAATAACACAAACATGGACACAGAACGTTTATGTCCAGAAGGTTCTGGTGGTCCAGAGTCAGACTGAGACATGAAGACTTGAAAATGATCAACGTTATTGGAAGAAAGTAGTCACGTTACATAAAAATGTGTGGAAGAAGTGTGGCAGTAAGTGTAGAAAAGCAGATCTTTGGTGCAGACTGCTGAATGGTGGAAGGTGTACATTATGTTTTAATTGGTTGAATTAACTCCATTTAAGTCAAGACGAAACAGTAAAAAGTATTTTTGTTGATTCTGGATTTTCGTTTCCGCCTGATGAATGTAAGACAACTGATTTAGAAATCGCACCTAAACACGCCAAGTCTGTTCTATTTAAATATACTGACTTTATTTATGGATATGATATTAATAAGCTGCCTAAAACAGCTAAACGTTCCTTACTGCGTGCTGCCATTTCATTTATCTAATATCAGATGGATGTGAATCCGTCTCCCTGCTGAGGAGCAACATCCATCTCCTGATTCACACCCAAACTTTTATTCATAATTGCCAAACGTCTCCCTAATAATAAAAAAAAAGACCCCAAATAGCAGAGATGCTGATTCACTCTAGCTCCTCTGTGTGCTGGTAACTTGCAGTGAAATTTATTTTCCAAACTCTGGAGCAGATCCACGCAGTATGAAGAGCAGAGACAACCTCTACAATCACAGAAAATCAGTGCTGATGAAATAACTGCAAAGGAGAGTTGACTAGAAGCCGACTGACCGTGTTCGATGATCTCCACTAAGCTGCGCAGGTGAGGCAGGATGGCGCAGCCCATCAGGATGGCGATCTGCTGCACGATCTTGATGCCAGTGTGTCGCGCCTGCCAGGACTTCTTACTCTTGCACACAGCTTTGAGGAAGGGCAGCAGCGACGGGATGCCGAGGGCCGAGGCCACCACGGCGAAGGCTCGGGCCGTCGTGTTTCTGACGTACTCGTCCATGTTGTCAATGTCGGGACGCATCGTGGAGATCATGGTGGCCAAACCAGCAGCCTGAGACACACAGCGGGAAGACGACAACGTTTTACAAGGAACCTGATTTGGTGTTTTAGTTTGTTAAACTAAACAGTTCCTGTCATTTAGCCTAAATGCTGCGAGACAGACAAGAGCTTCGATCAGAACAGATGTAGCAGAACACAGAATATGATTAACAGAACAACGACTTGTCCATCGAGCCTCATCAGTGATGTGTGACTCAGAGCAGCCCGAGCATTTTAGTGCTTCGGGCAGTTCTGTTTCGTATGTCAGCGTTGAACTGGGACGGAGGAAGACACATTGAACTAAATGTTTCTGGTCATTTAGCTCAGATGCTGCTGAACAGCTGCTCGGATCAGAACAGAGATGACAGTCTCCCCATGCATGAGCTACCAGAACAACAACATGATCTGAGACACGTAATCAGATGCAATAAGGAGCGCTGTGCTCGTGGACTGTGACCAGCGGGTGCAGGGTGAGAACAGACCCGGGGTGAGCATCAGGTCTGCTAGCTCTCGTGCTGGTGTCAATCTAGCGAACGACTAGCCCTGATCTGACCACGAACTGGTCGAACAGGCGAGAATAGTTCGCAAACAGACAGAAAAAGGAGTTCCACATTACCTTTGCCAAGTTGGAGATGATCTCTCTGCCTTCCACTCTGGCGTAGTAATCCTCATCGATCAGCAGCGGCTCGATCACCACCAGGATCTGCACACACAGTGGACGTCGGTTAGTTCCTCATCACCCACCCAACAAAGCTGCACCTCCAGCCTCACGCTCACTCACCTTGTGCACGTACGGTCGGACCAGGTCGTCCAGTTTGTAGAGGATGCGGTCGATGACTTTGACCAGCAGGTGGCGCTCCTGGTCCTCCAGTGTGGGCGACATGAGCAGCGGCAGGATCTGGTTGAACAGCGGACCTGCTCCGAATTCACGAGCCTTATCGGTGATCTGACGCAGAGCAGCCTGAGAGAACAAGGTCAGTCAGTGAGAGGTCGGTGGAGCCTCGACCTCGGGACCACAAAACATCAACAGGCTCAAAGCAATGCCTTCTAGTGGTAAAAGTAGCTCTCAACTTTAGCATTATAGTATTAAAAATAACTTTAACTCTCCTAAGTTTAGCATTTTAGAGCTAAAAGCAGCTCTTTCTATCTTAAACATTTTTCAAGCTTAAAGTAGGTTTAGGGCTCTTGAATTTAGCCTTTTAGTGCTAAAAGTAGCTCTATCGGCCTCAAACTTTTGTATTTTAGTGCTACAAATAGCTAGAATTCCCTCATTTCAGCCTTCTGTGTGGCTTTACTTTCCTAAACTCAGCATTCTAGTACTGAAAGTAGCAAAAATACTTTGGTAAAGAGTGAAAAAGGTTCTGTTCTGATGTCAGATTTACCCAAGCTGAGTTACTACTACTAATAACAATAATACAGAATGCTTATATAGCGCTTTACAAAGTAGGTAAGAAGACAACAACAAGACAAACAAACTGTTGAAAGGATTTGAACGACATCTACATGATTGGTTTTCCATCAGCGGGGCAATTTAAATGTCAATATGTCAGTTGATGGGAGTTAATAAATCTGTGGGAAGCTACAACTATGATCAGTGTTTGATTACGTGCAGAACTTACAGAGAGTTTGTGAAAGATGCATGACAGTGATTCTGTAAACGAGAAAGCTTTAGTCTAACGGGGGACAGGTGACTGCGCTGAGACGTTTCCAGTAGGGGAGTTGTGTCACTCTTTATTTGTGAAAACTCTGAGGAGGGAACTGTGAGGGACATTTGGAGCTGCTGGAGCTGAGCTGAGGACGTGTTTGCAGCTCCCAGTGGATCTAACGGTCAACTTCGACCTCCGCTGAGAGCAGCAGCTCCTCACAGGAGATTCTGTAGCAAGCAAGTATTCACACTGCAGCCACATGCAGGCTCAGTGCTGGGTGTTGATCTTGCATTTGGAACGTTTCTGCTCCTACCAGCCACAGCAGCTGGACACAAAGGGAGAAAGCCAGTAACCAACCTTCCTCATGGGCGGAGTCCCATTCTTGATCTTCAGCAGCAGCTTCATGATCTTCCTTTCCTTCTGCTCCTCAGGGCTCAGCGTGGACTCATCCACCTCCACCTACAACAAACAGGCTCAGTGAACTTCAGACAGGACAAACATGGAGCTCGTGTTGATCTTACTGGGTTTACGCAGGTGTTACGCACCAGCAGCTTGTCAAAGTACTGGATGTCGTCAGGTTTGAGGAAGGGCAGGTTTCCTGACGGCTGGTCGTTCATCTGCTTCGTAGTTCGGTCTTCTGCCTGCATGTGGAAGCCCGTCATGCCGCCGATAGGCGTGGGCGTGGCCGACAGCTTCCGGGCCGGAGTACGGATCGGTACGTATCCGGCTGGAGGAGGCAGGACCTGAAGAACAACACGGATCAGTACTGTGAAGCTCCCCACAGGGACAGCAAAGCTTCTATCTACCTACTACTGTTACAGATACAGAAGAATGAATGGAAAGAAAAAGGGTCATGAACCTTGTAGCCCTCAGGGAACATGGCGTCCAGCTCCTCGTCTGTCAGAGGCCGGTTCCTCTCATCGATCTCTCGCTCCCATCTCCAGGCCTGCAGCTGCTCTGGAGTCATGCTCATCAGGTGTCCTGAAGGAAACACCACAGCACACGACCCATGAGACTGATACCAGACGCCCCCAGCTTCAGGTTCATCACACACATGAAAAATATCTGACGAACTCATGAACAGGAACGAACAGCTTACCTGGGGTGGGCGTTGCCATGTTCATAGCTGGGGTCCCGATGGGGGTCTTTCCGGGGGTCAGTAGTGGCGTTGAGGATCCCATCTGACTGGCAGGAGTTTCATCCCAGCGAGACTTCCTCTTGCTGGCTCCTGGAGTTGGCGTCTCGCCGACCGACTCGTCTCCTCGATCTGTTCGGGGGGTCTCGGCCCAGCCGCTGCCGTGTCCGGGGGTCTCCCTCTCTGTCTTCGGGGTTTCGTCCCAGCGGTTCTTGCGAACGCTCCCTGTGGCTCCACCGTGACCCGGCGTGGCGTGGCCGGGTGTGTCCCTGCCAGGTGTGGCGGCCCCTGCAGGTGTGTGGCTGGGGGTGGGGTCCCACATGCGGCTGCTGGGTGTGGCCCCGGGGGTCTCGCTGCCTTTGGGGCGGCCGGGGGTTTCGTCCCATCGGCTGTTAGAAGGTGTGTGTGCAGGGGTGTGTCCTGGGGTCTGGAGGGACAAACACATTTAACATGAGGTTCTCACTCAGTCAAAGACGCTTTGCAGCAGCGAGAACCTGAAAGCGGGTGGCTCACCTCAGAAGAGGCGTCAGCTTGGTCCCAGCTGGACATCTTTTTGGGCGTAGCGTTGGAGGGGGTTTGGTCAGCTGTCTGGTCCCAGCGACGTTTACGTTTGGCGACAGCTTGTGTGGCAGCGGACCCATTCACAGCTTTCAGGTCCCCCGACTTGGCCTTCTCAGCCAGCTGCTGACGGATCTCTCTCTGCAGTCAAAGGCACAAATGTCAGGACAAACACAAACCACACCGCAAACAAGCACAGCAGTCTACGAAGGCTCACCCTGTCTGGAGACTAAGACAGAAGACGTACAGTCTTCATTCAGGCTGCAGTGTAACTGGTTAACATGTTCTCATTATCCTCATTGGTCGGACAATCACCGGTGTTACCTCAATGATTAAAAGCATCACCAGCCTTCCAGGATTAACGATTTTAGACAGATGAAGGTCAGCCCCTCATCCTGAGGGTGAAGAGCAGCTTTAACTGTCTGGATTGAACATTTTAGTGCTCAGTGAAGCTCCTCATTCAGAACTGCTGCTGGGAACACACCGTTACTGTCGACTGCAGCCCATTTCAGAGCAGCCGCTTCCATTTATTCTGCGGTTTTCATTAAGTTTTTTGTTTGGATCTTTTCAGTAGAAGACAACTAGGTTGAAATGATTTTTGCTTTGAATGTTTAAGACTTAATTTAAGCTAACCAGGCTGCAGGTGGAGTGTGTTCAGCACACTGTGGAGCCTTCAGTTCTGATAAACTGATGATTTTTTTCCCTCTGTGACTAATCGATGAGTTGAAATGTCAGTCGACTGAGATTTCTTTGGTTAACAGTAAATACTGTACATTAGGAGCATAAAACAAGGGTCCAGTTTACTTCTTTCTTGCTGCACGAACAGTCACATAAACAGGGTAGTTCAGTCAACACCATGCAGCGACTCACCTCCTCTTTGGACAGGTTCTGCTCCAACATGACGTCCACGTACGACCTGACCTGCAGCTTGGGGTCCGGCGTTTTGCCCCCTGCGCGAAAGAGCACGAACAAGAACACAGGACAGTCATGAGTGTTTGTGCTACAAACCCAAGTCATTACAAACACAGCAAGCACAAACACAGCCAGCTAGCCCTGACTCTTTACCAACACATTAACTTATGTTCCTGCTCTGTTAAACAGCTCAAAACAAAACAAAGGCCTACTGAATTACATACAAATGTACATTTGTCTTTCTTACATACAGTCATAGCATTCTAATGAAAACAAGCAGATACATAGAGAGAAGAGCTGAGATTGTGGTGTTTTCTTTAAGTGGATTAAGAAGTATAGCCATCACTGATGCAGGGGTCCTGGGCTGTGCTCTTCAGAATACGTACACTTTCAGTGCCAAGGGTCCTTCTGCAGTCAGACTTCAACCGGCAGAAAAGAAGCCTAGAAAATTTCTCTTTACCATTAGTAACACTTTGGAAAAGGGTTTGAACTCACACACAACAGCATACCACCTGTGTTGCATTGATTTACGGCACTCAAAGAACAAAGCATCTTCTTGGGGCTTAACCACAAAACTAGAGAATAAGTCATGGACTCTGTGGTCCAGATTCCCAATTACTTACACTAGCAAAGAAATGAAGTCAAGATTTGGAGGCTACACACAGTAAAATCAAAAATGAGTATTTACTTATGCATTTAAATAAAAATATAAGGAAATTACTGGTAACTAAAGCCCAAATATAGTGGAAAAATCCAGAGCACTGCTCATTATTTACATTTAGATCTTGACTTCCTTTTCAGGATAAAGGTAAGGCTACGTAGCAGGTATTTGGGCTGTGGTTTTTCCATCGTGGGAAATTTCATCTTAACTTGTTGGAACTTAAAAGCCAAATAAAAAGAGGCTCTTGGGGGTTGTTGTAGCTGCATCTGATCCCCTCAAAGCCCCCAAACAAGCAGCCAGTGTTCCCTGACCAAACTGACAAGATCTCTGTGTTCCCATAACCTACACAGGACGAGTTGCTGCACCCTTAACAGAGTGCAGTACAGGACTGGCAAAGCAGTACTGCTGTAGGAGAGAAATTAAGGACAGTTAGTATGGGCCTGTGGTATTGCGGTACACAATTTTCTTGATAACATATTTCTATTTTACAGAGAGAGTTGTAAAATAAAAATATATTTACACAACAACTTTGTACAAAGAGCTCTCTCTACATGCAGGCTTCACATGAGCCCTACCTACACCAAAGCTCAGACACTCGGCCACGTAGGCTCATATGTTCAAGGGAAGTGACGATGCAATAAATACGGAAATAAAGATAAACTAGCTGGCTCTTAGTCAGTGTTTGTGGTTTATTTTCAGGTACAGTTTAACCCTCTGAAACCCAAAACTGGCCAGAAGTTTTAAAAGACGTGCTGTCAAAAACAGAAAAGAAATCACTGGGAAATTAACCAACTCTAAGCTTAAAATCGTGACATTTAATCAAAATCACTTTGTTTTACATGTCTCCAGTTTATAATCTACTGTAAATAAACTGTTTGCACGTATGTAGAGCTTCTATTTATTCCAGCATCGATTACACGTGGGCATTTGGAAAACCATTTTCCAAGTTGATTTCAGGCTTTTTCTATTTTTTTTTGCCACAAATAATTAAAGAAAATCAACTTTTTCTTTTTTAAGATTTATGGCATCGTAACGGCGTCATACCACACAGAGCACATCTTTAATTTCTCTCTATTTCCCACAGAGCTGCAGGACTTGATACTGCAGAAAAAAATTAGCCACAGTGAGAAAAATGAGACGGGAGCAAAAAACACCCAGAGGCTGGTTGGCCTTCAGAGGGTTAATACTATAGAAAGTCACATAAGCTAAAAATGCTCAGTCTGAAGATAGAAATGATGATTTCCAGCTCTGTCAGGACGCTGGTTTATTGAAAATAAGATAACTAACTTGTCATGCAGTTTTTCTGTGCTGAGGCCTAAATTCATTTGCAGTTTGACAAACCAGCAGCTACATGATGTTTAAATTAGAGTTCAGATAAAAAGAAATTAGGAAGACCTAACGTCTGAGTTTCATGTCCTTATACATTCCTGTTTTCTCCCCTCATACCTGTGGTTTGACTACACCAGAGCCTCTGAGATCTTTATCTGCTGTGCTCAGTGCACTGGCAGGTCTGCTGGACCATAGCTAACCCTCACACACTGTAACAGGAGGACGCTGCCCCTTCCCGTCATAAATCACATGGGATGTTAACCCTTCGACTCACACACAACCCATCTGCGACCCACGTTTGTTAGGGTAACACCCAACCACCTCTCCCGCTGAAAATCATGGTAACCCCACTTCACACACCTTCTGTTTGCACATCACAACAGTGACACTCTCCCAAACCAAAATACTGAAAATCAAACTATGAGCCCACGCGGACATTTGGAAACAAAAACAATGAGACAAAATGTTGTTGGACCACACAGGATTGACCACAGGGAAGGCATCGAGTCTGGGAAGCAAGCTATTGCATTGTGGTCGAAGGGTTGAACAGCAAAACTTATGGGTGTGGGGGTGTCACAAAAAAGTGAACCATGAATAAAGGGGGGAAGAAATGGGGAAGATGTAATGACGACAAAAAAGGAGCAAAATTTACCATCTGCAAAAGGGTCAAGACGCTCAGGGGAGATGATCATCTGTCGGCGCCGGGCTTTATATTCATCTTCCCGCTCTGCGATCTTCTGTGGCCGATGCTCTGCAAACGGGTCGTACTGCAAAACAAAGACGTTTAAATGTAAATCCAAACAACAGCCCTGCTTCATCTGAAAGCTCCGGGATGAACACTGATAATAAACGAACACATACTTGCTCGTCTGACTGAGGAATGGCATTGAGTATTGCCACTGGAGCGTGGTACCCCGGCT